TGCTCATCCACCCATCCATGCTCCGCTTCTAGCTACTGTAACTACATATGCTGCATACAGATATATGTTTGTGTGACTGCAAATTTACTTCACATAGACATTGACATTTATATGCTTGCAATGGTCGACATCAAATTATCTATACAGATTATTCCATAGCTATTTATTTATTCAACTTTATTGAATAAATGCTGTGTAAGTTCAAGGTGCACAATGTGTTGATTTGATAACAATTTTTATATTTGGCCATTTCTCGAGGCTTATGCCTATGACCGCACTACTCAGTATGCGAAGAAATATAAGGTAATTGTACAATAAACTTAAGCCAAGTAGAATTCTGAGTTGTGAAACACAATGATTCCTCAGACCAAATTCAAATGATGCTTAGGTTTCCACAGCTTTGCGACACCTGTGTCATTAAGTTTGTGATCATGGTTGACAGTGGATGATGATGACCAGTCTTGCAACTGATTCTGTGTCTGAACCGTCACACGGGAGTTTTGTTACCTTGCTCGAGTGAGATCCAGAGGTCTGGTGGCAGCTTGCCTTATCTGGCAGCCATTGAAATAGAGCGAGTCCCCGTGGGCATAGGGTGCCAGCTGCCCACAGCCACTTCCTATCACTCCGCCTTGAATGGTCTCCCAGTTTGCCTCGGTGACTCTTGCTGACTCAAAATTATCTTTAATATAACTGGGGAGATCACGGCTGAAAACAGAGCAATCGTCACCTAGAGGGAAGGGATTAAATACACAAATTAGGTGGCAACAAGCAGAATGACCAAAGATTAAGAACAAGTATTCAATTTCAAATTTAACCCACTGTTGTTACTGTAAGAATGACAAAATACCCAGCAGATATAGAATCCCTGAAATAAATGTTTCTCTTTTATTTTAGCAATTATTGGCTAACATTGTTGAAATAAATCCCATTATCTCTGAGTCACTGTTCACTAAAATATGCAGTTGCTAATATACTTCTTGTTCATGTGAACCTATATTTAAATACCACAGCATCTGGCTGGGCCTGCATATAGACCAATCATGGGTCTTAGTAGGGAGCTTCCTCCCTGGCTTGAGAGGCCAGCCTAATATCTTTCCCCTAGCATGATTCTGTAGCAGAAAATAAGGTCAATCATATTCGTGTGCTTCTAGCCCTACACTTGAAGATTCTAGAGAGCAGAGTCTGCATTTCATTCATCATCGGCTTCCAGTACCTAGCACAGTACTTAGCATGTACAAGACATTCAGTCGTGAAGCTGGGATAAGTAAATGCATAATGGATAAACTGGACGTGTCTCTCAGAGACCACTGAGCTGAAATACTTGCATTAGGTAAGACGGTACATTAGCAAATGTGTATGTGCTTGCATTTCCCATTGATTTGAACAGCCTGACTTTCCTAAATGCCCACAATAGTTTAAAATGAAAAGGTCCAGAGCTCTGGCTGGGTCAGGGGAGAGGGAACATTCCAGACATCGAGGACTCCTTGTGAGACAGCTGATTTCGTCATTTGACTCAAGATCAAATTCCCCAGCTAATACACAGTCAGACTCAGCCAGTCTCAACAGTAATGAAACCAGGTGAAAAAGATGACCACTAAGTAATTTCTAATATCAGAGATATGCAGCAGTCTACATGAATCACACTCCTTTCATTTGTAGGCAAGGAAATAGCATCAACCAAGAAATCTAACTAGATTCTACTCCAGAATTCAAATCTATGGCTTCTTTCACTGCACACTTGGGTAAGTTGTAAAACTGGTCCCCGTAGCATAAATCTCTCAGCTATGAGAGACAGCAAGGCTGACTGGGAAGAATAGCTTGCACCAGCCTTTATTCTGACCCTTACTAGCTCTGTGACCTTAGGCAAGCCACTTAATCTCCTCCTCTCAGTTTCTTTATCTGTAAAGTGGGAATGACTATCATTAGCTAACTTACGAGATATCATAAACGCTAAATGACTCTGCCAAATGATTGGTGGACACTGTGTAATGAGCAAAGCATAAGATAAAGTAAGGATTCCTTCACAAGGGATTTGTTGAGCATCATTATATGCCATGAGTTAGGCTCTGAGAATATAATGGTAATTATGTAAAGTGAACTTTGTAACAACAGAGGCAAAAACATTGCATTAGACTCCCAGGGGTGGGCAACCTTCTTCTGCCAAGGGCCATTTGGAAATTTTTAACATCATTCACTTAATATAAATTTGTGTTGCTATGAAAAAAGCTCCTACATTTATTGAATTTGGAGTTCCGTCTGCGGTTGCCTTGGCAGGGCCAGACCAAATGATTCTGTGGTCCGGACATTCCCCACCCCTGTTGATTAGAGGACAGCAGGGCTGCAGGCCTCCCAACAGGCCAAGAGAGCAACTTTTTTATGACATCAAGGAGCTGAGGAGCTACTCTGTCCCAAGAATACTCCAGCTCCTAGAAACTCAAGCAGTAAAAATGTTTTTTTAAATCTTTTTTTTTTGAGTTATGAAAGCTCTTTTTCTTTTTTGTGACAGAGTAACTTGGGAAACAGAACATCTCGAATTGTCAGCTACATCTTGGGAGGGCAGTGGCAGCTGCTGCTGGGAGAGGCTATGACAGAGAAGAAATATTAGCAAAGTAGCCATGGATAGACAGCTAGGCCAGGGCAGAGAGAGGTCCAGAGGGAAATAAAGTGTGGGAGGCAGGGAATTGCATGGAAGACGGGGAAATGTGAGGGACTATAGAATTCCTGAGTGGGTAAAACCTGCACTAAAAAATACCTCAAGGAACAAAGCATGAAATTATCCTTGATAGTTCATTCCAAAGATAAATAACTTTGTGGCCAGAGCGTGTCATCTATCGCAAATCCCTCAGGCTGGAGTTTCTATCCATTTCCTAGTGGCCTTTGTATTGGTGCTGAGAGAAGGAGAACGCCACGCTCTCCTGGATTAAAAACGGCAGCCTGGGGTCCAGACCTTGGAAGCTCTCATCACAGATGCAGACGGCGCCGGTGGTGCAGGACCCGTGCCCGCTGCAGAGCTTGGGGCAAGCCTCTCCGATGTACACGTGGTCAATGGCCCAGCTTTGCTTCTCAGTTTCTTCCCCCTTCTGGATCCAGCGGAACTGTGTCGCACTGCAAGTCCCACAGAGAACAGGAGGCATTCAGCAGGCTGCTATTTCCCATGGCCGTGCCGCCTCTGACTGTGGCAATGGGATCTACTTCTGAGAAAAGGGCTTCCCAACTTCTCCCTTAAGCACTAGCTCACAGAGGTGAGTGACTGTCTACTCCTAAAACTTTGGGAGCAACCCCTCAAGCCCCCCCACCACACTATTTTGGAAGTTTGTGCCTTCCCTAAAATTTTTATGTGTATTTCCTCTCCTATTCCATTAGTCTGTGCCCGTTTTCCCTACGGAGGTTTATCATTTTCTAAATCTTTGAGTAAAATGCATTTTTGTAACTTGACCAATAGTGCACACCCCAGAGGCTGTTTGTATCCGGAGTGAGCGCAGCCGTTGGGAGCACAGAACATGGGAAGGGACACAATGCTGCCAACTCCAGGTCTTGGGGATCTGTGACTGGGGCCTGTGATTGAGTTTGGCATGTGCTATGGTATTTAGTCAAAAGAAAATTAGTGATCTATGAATCATCTACAAATATGACCCTGTTTCTTCTTATTTCTTCCCAGGATATGCAATTGCCATTGTGAGGCAGAGGCTGGTGAGAAGAAGGAGAGAAGAGGGGACAGGGAACTAAGGCTGCAACTAAAACCCCAGCCCCATTTTATCAGTTGTTCTCAGCTCACTGCCTGAGCTCGGTAGAGATGGCCAGATAACCCTGAAAAGTTTACCTTAGTATGTATGCAACCTACCTGGAGGAGACATGGTCAGGCAGCTGAATGGTGATTCTCTTCCAGCTCGAGCTGTTGACGGCATTGTAGATGGTGGCCTCATGGAACTGGAAGGGGGAACAGCCAATGCTGTTCGAAGAGGATGGAAGGCATTGGCTCTGGACCAGCTGCCAGGAATCGGACCTGCAGAAACCAAAGAGGTTGCATTAGACAACTCAGGAAAAATATATGGCCTGTCTAACGTGGACATCATGCTTCGGGTTTGGGTTAGCGTAAGATATTTCAATGGAAATGTCCTATTTCCTATACATATTTATAATTACAGGCATCAAAAAGAAAACTTGAAAATAACTGCACATGAGATCTATTCTAATTCTTTACAAGCAGATGAATATATTCACAGACAACAGAATAAAATAATAGCATTCAAGGGGCTGCATTCTAATGGCTTCCTCCCGCTGATATTGTTACCAGAGACATACCTGGAGTTGACTGACAAAATTCTCTGTCTTACCTAACTTAACTCACTATAGCTCATTTTTAAAAGTGGTGGTGGGAGGCAGGCCTATCAGCACCCTTCGATGGTAACTGTTGTGTGTCAGTCTTTTACTTGATCTGGCTACTGTGCTTCGGAGATGTGACTGGCCAAAGCATATTCATCTTTCATTGACTAAAATTTTCAATAAGGTTGGTTGAAAATGACATTTGTACTTTCAGGACAAATGTAGTGTTTTACTTATTTTAAAATATAAAGTTGGGTGTTTTTGTTTTTTGGCTGGAGCCTGGTATCAAAATAGACTTTTCTTGGTTTGCAGAAAAAAATGTGAAAATAAGATGTGTAAATTTTATATGCATGAAATTTGTACATGTGAAATACACATCAGCTGACTCTTTTAATAAAAAATATTGTTCCTCTGTAAACAGTTGCTCTAAAAGTAGACAACCATTCGAACTGTGTATTCAGCTTTGGAGGAACTGTAAAAATTATTTCACAAACCTTGCATCCTTAGTGTACTCCAACATTACAGAATGAGGGTCACCACAGGAAGTGGCTTCACAACCCACTACAATCTAAAACAAACAAACAATCAATGTGAATCAGGCAGAATTAAAAATATCTACATTCAATAGGAATCGCATCAGTCTTTATTATGATTAGTAGTCAAAAAACATTCATTGAAGCTTTTACAGAGCAGCCTGCCAGAACACCAAGAATACATTCTTTTGACTTCAGCTAAAGACATGCAATTTTGCATGGAGATGAGAATTAAGGTTAAATAACTACTATATTCTTATTTACTTAATTAGTATAACATATTAATCATAAATTTAGAGACTATAAATTGGCCAAAAGGAAAGTTATATTAGAAGAATTCATGGAAAGAAACTCAAAGTATTACTGGTTCAAAACATTGTCATTGATATCCTAATCCTTGATGCTACTATTTTTATTTATAATTAAAAATAGCAATTTTTAACAACCTAATATTCATTCTCAGGGTTTTTCCATCTACACATGAATAAAAGCATTGCATATTACTTACACTTAAGTATTTGAATAATCAATAATGCATAAATGCTATAAAAATTTGGCGATTCAAATTTAAGTCCTAATCATCTACTTAATCAACAAGTCCTATTTCAGGGTTAATATTGGAGAAGGTTAGTGATAAAAATTTCAGGCCACAGATTCATGAATAAAACAACTCTGGCTTCAGAGAGAGAGAGAGAGAGAGTACAACACATATTCTAATAGTGGAAATGGAAATCATAAAAGATATAAATAAAATGCTGTGCTGCTTCATATGAAGGGGAGATTCTATTTAAGAAATAATAATTATGTGTTGTGATAGAGGTGCTAACTATTGCTACAATGGCAATCATATTACAGTATATAAATGTATCAAATCACCATGTTATACAACATGAATTTACATAATGTTATATGTCAAATATGTTTTAATAAAAAAAAGCATCAAGTAGGGTGCATGTGACCTGCCCCGGAAGCATGGAAAGTGTGAGAGGTAGAGATAGGAGAAAAACAGTTAAGTAGAAGAAGGATCGACTTGTAGTCCAAGGTGTTTGTCCTTAATTTGGTGGGTAATGGGAAGTCATTAAAGGTTTATGAGCAGTGGAATGATGCACTCACAGCTGTGCTTTGTAAAGATGAACCTGAATGTGGAGAGAAGGTGGGAAGTCTAGTTAATGGACTAGTGATTTATTAGGGCCAGAATGGAGGCAATAACAGTGCAAACAGAGCAGATGGGATGGGTGTTAGGAACATTGAAAATTCAAATGAAAGGATACAGTGAATGATTAGATATGAAAATTTTAAAGAGTACTTTAAAATTTAAAGTTGGTGAATAGGTGAAAGGTAGTGCCATTAACAGAAACAGGGAAATCAGAAAGAGGAGTTGATATGGGGAAGGAAGACATGAAATCCATTGTTAGCCATGTTGAGTTGAGATGCCAACAAAACAAAGGTGTGAAAATGTACACAAGCTGTTAAAATACTAAATTAATTGTGGTGACCGAGTCAAGGTTGGCCATGAGGATTTGAGAGCTGGTCATATCTTTAAGATCTGAAGCCAGGGATGAATGATATTTCCAATGGCAGAATGTCTACGGTGGGAGAAGGAAGCCGAGAAGTACTGGGAAATGCTGACATTTAGAGGTGAAAGAAGAGGAGGAGCTAAAAAAGAGATATCAAGAAAATAAGAGCAGAATTGGCAGAGAACCCAGAAGCCAAAGGGAATGGCATGGGTTGGAGAGGGCAAGGACAACAGTGCCAAATGGTACAGAGAGAAAAGGAAAGACGAGGAATGAATGAAAGCTGTCGGATGTAGAGTTTAGGAAGTCTATGGTGACTTTTAAATATGCGGCTTTAGTAATACTTTATTAAATTTCTGGGGACAATTTTTTTTTAAACAAATTGATTTAGTTAGAGAAGAAAATGTTAGTCTCTTTAGTTCTAGGTTGATAGAGGCAGCAAAAGAGGAGGTCACAGTCAACTTAATCAAATATGATGACTTTGATATGGGCTAGGTAGAGGGAAACCCTTATTCTTAAAGGATTAGAATGACTGGATGTGACCTATGACCTTGAACAACCTTCATGCCCCTAGGTTAAAGATAATCCTGAGGGAATGGGAGCATTTGGGGAGCTTGCCTCACCCTCCGATCTCTGAAGGAGAGTTTTCGTAGAGTTGAAGAAAAAGAGTGGATATTTTTTTTCTAGTAGATCTGAAGAGTTTTTCATCTTGAAAAACTGAAACTCTTCACCCATTAAACAACTCCACATTTATTCTACCAACTATCAGCACATTTTTATTTCTGCTAATAGGGACTCTTACTATTAACCATCATTGTAGCACATCTCTTTAAATAAGAGCATTAGAACAATTGATGTTTGTCTTTAAAATGATCTAGTAATAAAGTGCATTTTTGTAATGCCCTTTCCTTTAGTGTGTTTTGTAATAATAAAGACATCAATTGATACTGCTTTATCTTTCTCTATCTGTTAATTATCTTCTATGCCTTCCTTCACATCCTTCTATATTAATAAATATGCACTTAAAAGATTTGAGAGTCCTTTTAAAATCTTTGAGGATTTGGAAGTTGCAACTGGGCTAATGTATAGGTTTGTGTTTGGAAGTAAGAGTCAAAAGGAAAATGGAAAGACATAAAAAAGGATAAACAAAGAAGCAAAGTGACTTGATATGTGAAATAGGTATATAATAAAAAAAATGGGAAGAGAGAGGAGAAAAGAGAGGAAGGGATGGAGGAGGGGGAGAGAGAGACACACACACGCAGACAACTATTTCTAAGGTTTGGGAAAGTGAATTCAAGATTACATACCTGAGACGTAAAAATACAGTTACATTTCTTGCTATGTCCTAATATACTCATAGATTTTATATATGCTCCAATAATCCTACCTGATAAAAACTTTGTGAAAGATTACTTCTTTTATTCATAAGATAAAGTCTCTTTTAATGAATGAAATCAATCATTTCCTTATACTTGCCCAAATAAGCATTCTCTCCACATCCCCTCCCGCAAACGTAACGCCATCCTCTGTGTGGAAGGGCCATCTCCCTTACCTTAAACTGCATCATGTACCCTGGCTGTATAATGAGCTCTCTAGAGGAGAGCACATTGTGGGTCTTGTCTTTCTTTTTATTTGGCCAGTAGAGGTGGAAGGAGGGATTGCCACAGAATCCTGCTGTCCTAACTGCATTAGGGTAAAAACTCCAGTTTTCTTCATGGGAAGTGCCTTCTGTTAAGGTAAATTGGAAAGAATATAGCATGTTATTCTCTTGAGCTGACTGGCTTATTGTTGAATTACTTGAATATCTATACTCTAGCTTTCTGTTTACTCTTTAAGATTTATTCTTATTTTATTTAATTGCTATAAATAGTATATATCCAAGCTGAGAAATCAAATTTAGAAAAGATTATTAACTACTAGTACTATAACGATTACCCAACTTTTAAAATGTAATTGCTATTTTGTTCGCCAGTTTATTTTGTTCATTAGGTTCCACATATACATAATCGACGGACACAGAAAATAGTGTGGTGAAGGCCTAGGGAAGGGACAGGAGTGGGGAGGAGGGGGTCAATGGGAAAAAACAACAACAAACAACAAAGGGGACATCTGTGATACTTTCAACAATAAAGATAAATTTTAAAAAATGTAATTGCTAGTCTGGGTAATTTTCACCATTGCAAAATGATTCTTGGTATACTTTTAAAAAAATTCTTTATTGTTAAAAGTATTACATAAGTCTCCTTTCCCCCCCATTGACCTCTTCCCAGCTGCCCCACCCCCCAGCACATGCCCTCACCCTCCTACTGTTTGTGTCCATTGGTTATGCTCATAGATATGCATACAAATCCTTTGTTGATCTCTTACACTCTCACCCCCCACCCCTCTCATAGGTTGAATGGTCTGTTCGATGCTTCTATGACTCTGGTTCTATTTTTGTTCATCAGTTTATGTTGATCATTATATTCCACAAATGAGTGAGATCATGTGATATTTATCTTTCTCTGACTGGCTTATTTTGCTTAGCATAATGTTCTCCAGGTCCATCTATGCAGTTGTAAATGGTAAGAATTCCTTCTTTTTTACAGCAGTGTAGTATTCCATTGTGTAGATGTACCACAGTTTTCTAATCCACTCATCTGCTGATGGGCACTTAGGCTGTTTCCAAATCTTAGCTATTGTAAATTGGGCTGCTATGAACATAGGGGTGCATATATCCTTTCTGATAGGTGTCTCTGATTTCTTGGGATTTATTCCTAGAAGTGGTATTACTTGGTCAAATGGCAGTTCCATTTTTAATTTTTTGAGGAAACTCCATACTGTTCTCTACAGGGCTGTACCAGTCTGCATTCCCACCAGCAGTGCAGGAGGGTTCCTTTTTCTCCACATCCTCACCAGCACTTGTCGTTTGTTGATTTGTTGATGATAGCCATGCTGACAGGTATGAGTTGGTACCTCATTGTTGTTTTGATTTGCATCTCTCGGATAATTAGTGACTTTGAGCATGTTTTCATATGTCCTCTTTCAAAAAGTGTCTATTTAGGTCCTTTGCCCATTTTTTGAGATTCTTGGTATACCTTTAACACAATATAATGTATATCTCTGTAGTAAAGAAATTCCTAAAGAAACTAAAATTATTTTGGGGTATTGAAATTTCAAATTATATTTGGAGCTAGACATTTCGTTTTTAACAAGATTTATTAAATCCTCAATTGACATTTCAACAACTGAAGATTTATAAACTATGGGGCAAAATAATAGGTAACATGTGTTGAGCACCAAATATATGCTAGGCACTATTCTAAATTTTTATGTAGTAATTCATCCCAAAGCACAAACAGACAAACAGCTCACAGGAAAGACTGTTCAATGTCTTGTTTCTTACCATCATCAAAAGTGTCGACCAGTTGACTGGGATTGATCTCTGCTCCACCAATCAAAATGTTGTCTAGTGCCCACTGAGCACGCTCCACCCCGGAGACCACAAGTCTGTTGCTGATCACAAAAGGCTGCCACCAGCGAAGCCGAGTTGTGTTGGTGAGGGCATCTTCAGGAAGGAGTATGTAGTCGTGTCTAACAGAAATGTATTTCTGATAATCCATCTCATGGAGCAAAGTCCAAGTAATTCCTATAACAACAAATAAATCAACATAGTAACATATCTGGGAAAACCCCCCACAAACCACTGGTGTACTGCAGTTACTGCAAGCTTCTGAAAAAAAATCTTCAACCAGACAATGAGAATTTATTTCATTGACTTTAATGGAAATGCTTAGCACTTTAAATATTGTTGCAACATGAGGCTGATGATATGAAGGGAAGGGTATTTAGAAATACTTGGCCAAAAATAAAAACTCTAAACATTTTATATTTTCTGCCTTTAAAATTTTGTGCTAGATTCTTATAGGTATTAGTCCTCATGAATAATGAGAAACATCCATGTTTTGCATGCTTCTAGATAAGAACTTCTTTTATTTTAAAAAAATAGCCATTATAATTCTATGCAATTTGTGGTTTATTGGACTGATATGAACGGTTCCCTCTTAACAACTGATATGACTGTAGATGGGATGTTTAAATTATTTAAGAAAACACCTTTTGAATACATACAGTACTTTAGGGCCATCTATTTATATGCTAGGTATTAAGAATATCTACCTGCTAAAGCTAATTCTCAAGACCTCATGGCATTACTTCTAGTTTCAGCCACTTCCAAATAATAAAACAAAATTTGGATAAAATAGTTTATGACACACAAATTCAGACATATTCTTTCACAATTAATGATGTTTTTGGAATCTTGTAGATTCTCTTACAATTTATTACACATATGTTCACATAAAGCTTCTTAAAACATTTTAAAATGTTTTTAAAATTATCTTTTACTTGGAAAACATATAAATATTATTTTTAAGTGTATAATTTATAATCTAGCTTCAGTTAAGCATAGAGATTTTTTTTTCTTTACTAATAAATTTTGGAGCTTATTTATTTTTTTATTTTCCTTAATTGAAAAAAAATTTTAAATTACAGTTGACATTCAATATTATATTAGTTTCAGGTTGTTAGATATTTACATAACTTATGTATTGATCTCCCGATAAGTCTATCCCCCGGATCCCATACAACTTTTTAATGTGATTTCTCTCTTGTTCCTTTATTTGGTAGGATTTTGCTAACACAGAAGTCACATGTATGGAATGTGTAACACAACTAAAATCGGTAACTTCCTCTTTGTAAGTTTCACTATTCTCCTTGCAAAGGTTTTTCTGAGGGGCACTGGATGGAATTTGAGAATCTGCTCCAAGGTGTGGCTTTCACCCCTGAAACGTGCCTCCATCCGTAGAGTAGTCCAACAGCACACCTTCCTTCCGGCAGACGGGCCGATGGCAGGAGGTCATGTTGTTCTCACTGCCGATGCGCCCCCAGTATTGCAGGAATCTGAATGCAAGCACACATTATCCGTCAGAATAGTAAATTAGAACAAATACTCTACTCAAGTCCTGGATAACAACTTCTCCCACATGTGTTCCTTGCTTTGGGGCCAATGTGCTACGTTGTGATGAAAATAAACTCAAAATGACTTACTTTGCCCCTCTGAGATCCAAATCTTGAGTAATAGCTTGTCTCACAGTGGATCCCCCAAAATAGAGTGCGGTGTCCTCGGCAAGAATCCCACACTCGGTACAAGTACTCCCACCTTCTAAGGACATCCATAATTCAGGCTTGATCTCTTCACTGTCAAAGCGTTCCTTCAGAAAAGTCTGGAAAAAAATAAGTAGCACGTGGTTAAAAATAATTTCAGATAATAACTATGGAATAGTTAATTCAGAATTAGATCATGGACTTTAAAGATTAGAGCTGATGCTTGGCTGGTGTAGGCTCAGGGGTTGAGTGTCGACCTATGAACCAGGGGGTCACGGTTCGATTCTTGGTCAGGGAATGTGCCTCGTATTCAGGCTCAATCCCCAGTAGGGTCATGGGGAAAGCAGCCAATTGGTGATTCTCTCTCATCATTGATGATTCTATCTCTCTCTCCCTCTCCCTTCCTCTCTGAAATCATTAAAAAAAAAAAATTAGAGCTAGTGTTAAATGGTTTTCTAAGGATATTAAAAAAAAGGGTAGCATCACATGTTCTTTTCAATCATATAGTGAAGATCATTTAAACTTAAATAACGTTTAATAATTAGAATTTAAAGTCTAGAGAGAATCTTAAAACATTATAAGGTTGATCAGAGTAATACACCTATTTGTAAAATGTTATTTAAGCATATACTCCCAAATTATGTTTATTTATGTTGTTTATAAAAGTAGTATTATAATTTATTATGATATGAAACATGCAGAGTAGATAATTAAATACTGGGTTCATTATGGCTACATTTTGTGTAAAATTATTTCATCTCCTCACATCATAGCAAGATCTTAATTATTCATTTTTCCCATAGTATATTCATTTTGTCTATAATACAGTTTGCATTGGGTTGAGGCACCCAACGTTTTCTAATGGTAGAAATATATCATGGAAATAATTTGTTAGAATTATTGCAGCAATTATACAGAAGAACTATATACTTTTTCCCCACCTTTTTAAGAGAGTTATCTAGTTGCTATCTTATTGTGTCATTGAAGTGATTTAAATAGATCCTCTTCAGACTTATAACATGATCATCTCTATTGTTAAAGATGTGTAGTCATATGTGAACCTTACCTCGCTGATGTTAGCAAATCAATGCAATTTTAAAAATGGAGGTTTACATGTAAGGACACTAGTCTGAATTCATGTATTGTTAACCATGGAAACCCTCATTAGGAAGATTTGAATAAGAATGCATAATGTAGATCTGCACAATTTCTAATCCATCTGAAGAATGCTAATGAAATTTGAATGTCATGAAAGAAACTAGATTTTTTTTTTTAGTTTATTCATTTCTTGTGACTATGTTTCTTATGTTATAATACAATATTTATGTACTTTACTCCATACAGTCTGGTGTATTTGTGAATTGGGTAAATTGTACTAGACCTTGATCTAAGAAACCTATGACATTTTTTTAGTTTCTATCCAAAGGATTTATTTCCTGGGGACCCCCAAAGGACATTGTATAAATTATTAGTCTCATATGTAAGTGGGTTCTTAAGTCAGGGCCTACAATTCCAGTCCATGCTCCATCAGGGACTTTGACATTACCTTCAGAGTGTGAGTCAAGTAGCAGTTGGGCCCAGAGAATCCTGGATCACAGATGCACTGTTCCTTTAAGCAATCTCCATGGCCCCTGCAGTTGTCTAAGCATCCAGGGCCCAGGTAGAAATTATCGATTGCCCACTGCATATCTGAGTACTTTTGATAGAACCTAAACCTTACTGGACTGTTAGCAACACAAAAACAGAGGAGTGAAAAACAAACGTTAACTTTATTCAGGTTCATTTTCCTGCGTGTGCATTCAGTGTGCAAGAGAAAAAACATTTAAGACACTCTGAGAGTATGAAATGAATTAATAAAAAATGTCTTCTGACTGTCATTGTATTTTTCTTTCTAGTCATGGAACTTTAAAGCTAGTTTCATTTACATTTTATAACAGATGAGCAAACTTGTAAAACACAATGAAAACACAGCGAAATCTCTATTTCAAGCAATAGGAGCATTTTAAAATACAAAATTATTTAAACCATTGCATATGAACTTGAGTCCAGTGACTGCATCACAATTTAGATTCATTAACTGCATTTCTGAAATTGTGCAGAAGGAGAGCAAATCCTTGGACAGAGCCTTGTCAGCATGCACACAGTCCTCAGGTGATTGGAAACAGAAACTTCTGAATTCCCCAAAGATAATCAATATTCTCAGAGTAACTATGCTAATTAGAAAACAAATTTGAAAGCGTTATATTAAAGGACATTTTCCTGAGATTTTAATTTCATCATTGTTCTTCTCTGCCTTCTGGGAAAAATACAACCTCATAATTAACCTTATATTAAAATACTCCACACCATGTTGGTGTCAAGAGTCCAAAGTGCAGGAGGGAACTTTTTGGGGTGATATAGACATTCTACCTTGGTTCATGTGGTGGTTACGTGGGTTACACAATGGTAAGAGCTCACTGCACTAAACAACTAAGATATGTGCCTTTTACTGACTGTAGGTTGTATTTCATTATAAAAAAGAAAAGAAAGAACAGGAGGGGGAACATGAAGAAGGATGTGTGGTGGCTTCCCAGCATGCATTTTACCCCAGATGAGTCAGATGAGATAATCTTCGTAATATAATTGCCTTAACTCTTGACTGAGTCAGGAAAGGGCATTCTTGAGTTTATTTGTACCAAGGGGATGCAAGGAGATGCTTGCTCTGGCTCTCTTTGAAAGAAAAGCAACTCTCTTTCTCTCCCATTGAACACAGGCAAGAATGCATTCTGCTCCAGTTTTCTGAAAATCATCTATGTTCAGGGGAACCAGCCTGAAGGCTGAGTGTGGCCAATGTGTGGACGGTGGAACAAAGCGTAAGAGTAAGAAATAACAATGTCCTTGAACACTGTTACTGTGAATCAACTAATCCTAGCATCCATTTATCTTTGGATTATTTTCATTATAGACATAATATATTTCTTTTTTTTAACTGAGCCCATTTGAATTGGCTCTTCTGTTACCAGCAGCTGAAAGTATCCTGGTTTGGCTTCCTATTATGTTAATTGACCAAGCCTTTTAGATTTGTTACTGAAAACTGTGAATGCTTATGTAGTAAATGATATCTATAAACAATGGAAAAGCTATGTGTAAGCCCCTTATGCAAAAGGCTCTATGTATTCTGGTCATATATCATAACTGTTTTATGAGAAAGGTTTTCATTTAGCCACACGCTATGATTCATAAGATGGAGGTTCACCTATCATTTTCTTTAATGTATCTTTTTTCCTAATTTTACAGTTGAAGAGAAATCTTTTGGAATTGCCTTAAATTAACTTATCCACAGACTTTTCAGAGGACAGTTTAATCATCTTGGCTCACGACTGATCCATACTAATTACTTTTCACTGGGGGTACAGAATATAATGCTTTGATAAGAGAAAAATGAAAACTACAAACCATACTTGTACAAATAGTATGAAGAGTTAGGATTTGTACAAACAGCATAATGAGTTAGGATTTTGCTCCTGGCTTTGTCTATCATGGATTGACAAGGCCGTAATGAGGAAAGCGTATGATGTGTGGTGGACCACAGTCTACAGGTCTGTAAGGTAACATAGACCTTCTTAACTGGCTTCCAGGCCATCACTATTGCTCCGTCCCCATTTGCAGACACTGAGGTATGGAACATGAAAGGGCCTGCCAAGGTCCATCTTGACAAGTCTGAGAATTACATTTTGAGGTCACCTTGATGTAGCCATTCATGAGGTCACCAATTTAGAGAGCCTTTAGAGTTAGGGAGGAAGACAGCATCTTATTTACAATCCCACAGACTCTCAGGCTCAACCAGGGTCCCTAATCTACTCCTGGAAGGTTGGAATCAGGCTTTATTTTAATTTTCGACTTACTTTCCCACTAAGCTTTCAGGGAGGGGATAGGTGATCCTTTTCCATCCTTTTGTTGGAAAGAATACAGATGGCTGAGAAACACTTCCAGAGCATTTGGGGTCCGCAGGTAAGCACTGAGGGACCAGATAATTCCAGCTCACTCCAAAGTCAGTAGAATACTGCACATGAATTTGATTTTGAGCAATTTTTTCAGATACTTTACATCCAACAGAGATCTAATAAACAGAAAAGCAAGTTTGTTAATATATTAAACCCATATTGTATGTTTCTACTCTAAGGACTTGGCACACAAAAGTTACTGATCATTTAATAGACAAGGGACCAGATAATTCCAGCTCACTCCAAAGTCAGTAGAATACTGCACATGAATTTGATTTTGAGCAATTTTTTCAGATACTTTACATCCAACAGAGATCTAATAAACAGAAAAGCAAGCTTGTTAATATATTAAACCCATATTGCATGTTTCTACTCTAAGGGCTTGGCACACAAAAGTTACTGATCATTTGATAGACACTGCACCACATCTATCCTGTATTTTCAGATTCAGTCCTTGTTCTGCTGATGCGTGGGAAAGTTGACGTGGTTGCTCCAGGTGACAAGTTATAGAAAGTGCCAAATATATTGGACAGGGAGTTTGGAAAGAAGCTGAAACCTGTGCTTTTGCCATGGTTGGCTAATTGCCTGGCGAGGCCTGGGCCCTCTTACAAATTGCTGTTTGTTGTGCTAATGGTCTGGCGCTTCTCTCTGGCTGAATGCTGACCTAGAAGGATTGTTAACAGCTTTACCAAGTTTACTATTTTGTCTTACAACTTATGACTCTCAGTAAATCACTTTCAACTACAAGTAAGACATAATGAAGTGAAAACAGAAGGTACTTTGATGGAGGTAGCCATAATGTGGCATTTGTTGCTAATAATGTGGCATTTGTTGCAGCTAAGGTAGACAGAATAAATTGGTTGACATAAAATCTTGGGCCAAAATTGATGTTATTAATGCAATTCATGCCTTTGTTTCCCATAGTTTTCTTTCTCTAGAAACATTAACATGTTCTTGCAAAAAAAGTAGATATAACCACACTAACTTTAATCTTTTGGTAAAGGAAAAGATTGCTAGTTGGAACCAGTATCCTACATATTTATCAATATTTGCTCTATGAGTATTTAACCCTGAGCAGAAGCACATTTACTCTTATGAAAGGTTCACCCTGAAACAGTTCAGAAGTAAAGTACATTAGGCATTAAGTTATACATAGTTGCACTGTATACCTTAATATTAAATTTTATATTTCAAAGTTATGTATTAAGTCAATGAAATAAATAATCTTTGTCTCAACAGTTGCTTTTTCATTTTTATATTGCCAGCATATGGCTACTTGTGTAATCAAGACCATAACATTTTCACCTTGAATTGCATGATCCAGTTGTCAGTGGGGGTCAAGTCGTGAGTCACTGCGTACACTTCTCTCCCGTCATGACTGCCACAAATCATGACACCATCAGGGGAGTCACAGAATCTTTCCACTGTACAATCATCATGGAATAGCCAATGCTCACTCACTTAAAAAAAGATGAAAATTTTATGACAAAAATACTTGAGGCAAATTTTCATTGTGCTACTCCTACTGGAATAAAGTGAAAAGCAAGACCTCGGACACTCTCTGAAACACGAATCACAAATGCATCTCACATGTAGCAAAACTAAACATTTGTCTCTTGATATGAAAATAAGTGACCAGGAAGTATTGGCTTTCCACCCAAAGTTAGAAAACAGAAACAGAAATGAAAATTTTCTAAGAAAATAAGATATCCTATTAACAAAATTATAGAATGTTATTTAATAAAAACATACTTGATGGCCTGAATGAAAGAAAATATTTAGT